GCGCAAGAAATTAAACTTGGAGGAAAATTCCACCGAATTGTTAGAAATCAAACGAAAGGAAATACGCAAAACCAGTTAAACTATCAAGACTATCAAGATATTGATATAAGCGAGCTCGACAAACTTAAAGTATTAGGTGGTGATGTCTCAAAAATTGCAAGATATAATAATACGCATGAATGGTTGGAATCCTTAAAGTCTTATGATAATTGCGAAATTATCTTGTATGATGATAAATTATCACTCTATGAGCTACTTCCAGAAAAATTGAAGTCAAAAGTAAGGAGAGTTAACAGTATGAATGTATTTTATTCAAATATCTTGACAACAAATTATTTCAGAGGTCGCCTTATAACTAAAGTTCCCAAGCCACCAATTATTTCAACATTTAAGGGCTATAAAATATTTGCTTCAATTTTTAATGTAGCAGACAGAGAACCGTTAAATACATTTAGTATTAGGATCGATTATCAAGATTCGGATAATCCGTACTTTGTGATTCATTGCCTTGAACCAGTAACAAAAAATTCGCCACCAATTAGTCTTTTAATACCTTGGATGGTTATTGGATATGAAGAAAACCTTCCGTCTGAACCATTTCAATTAATTCTACTGAAAACTACATAAAATATATTTGGACTAAGAACCATGACGATGCAGAAATAGAAATTCCAGGATTGATTACACAGAAACATTGTTGGATAGGTACTTGTGTTTTACACTGTGATGAAAATCCAGGGTATGAGCTAGGAAAATCTGAAATAGCAACCAGTTATCATTTTTGCCAAAAAGGCAACTATATGTCCATATGTTGTAATCAACATGATATTTCAACAAAGTCAACTAATTTAACAACTTGTAAATTAAAATTTAAAGTCAATTGCGCAATTATTTTTAATACAAGTGACCCTGCCGTATCTCGCCCTCTTATTATGGAACCAGAAGGACAAATTTGGGAAAGTAGAGAAAATATGAAACACCAAACAAAGAACAAAAATAATATTTTTACTATGCGTAGATGGTTATTGCCTAGAGATGAAAGACTCATATTTGCAAGTCTTTTTGGTTCAAATTCATATAAATATCAGTGTCATCCTTTTTTTTTAAACATTAGTCAGGATTATTTTATTATTAAATCATTTGAAAATTTTGTCAATCAACCTATAAATCAAATTAATTATGTTGCTATGCCAAGAGTAGAAGGTAATGAAAAAAAGGAAACAAAGGAAATATTTAAAGAGAACACTCAACCTATTTCTAGTAATCATGATCATTTGGATCCAATCTTTACTGAAAACATAATAAAGTTTCTCAAATTAAAAAACGGGTTAATTGTTGACTCAAGAGACATATATACTGCAACAAATCAGGCATTCAATTTTGAATCAATTGCCAAAAATATTAAAGGATGTTACGTAAAAATATCATTACCGAAAGATAGAAAAGAATTATATTTATTGAAGAATCATATGGATATTACTTCTTTCCAATTGTTACCTCCAAAGTTGATTCAAATTATGTTAAAATCAAACATTCTTAATGATAATCTATGTTTCGATCATGTTCAATTTGAAGTTTATTATCCAAAAATTGAATTGAATTTGAATAAAGAGACTATTAAGCCAGCAAAAGAGATAAAAAAAAGCTGTGGACAATGCGTTGAATAGTAATAAACCATATCAGGAATTGATTAAAGTATTCAAAACATTTGGCTTTTTAATATCTCAGAAACTTATTCTTGGACAAAAATTATACAGAACATCAGTTAGGACACCGGATCTTGATGAACAGCGATTAGAAATAAAGAAAAATTTTTTTCAGAATTATTTATCGAATATAGAAGAACTTTTTGTTCTATGGGACTATCAGTATAGATTTGATGAAACATATTTAATGACAAAAGAAGGAAAGTCAATCGAAAAAAATAATGTCGAAAAATGGGTAGCTGACAATTCTAAACAAGACTTTAAATTATTACGTATTATTAATCGAAGTAAATTTATACCATTGTATGAAATATTCGAAAAGCCAATTAGCCGTCAAATTAAAACAATTTTAGGAATAGACAATCTTCCAAAAATACTTATGACAGGAATTGTGCAGGTCATTAAAGATGTTAAATATTATAAAATAAACTTTTCATCGAATTTGGGAAGTAGTAATTACTATATTTTTGCAAAATTAACTAGTTCTAATAAACAATCTTTTGATAAAACTATTGTGAACATACAATCTGAAAGTAAGAAAGGTTTTTTAGCAATAATTGAAACTTTTGATGAAATCAAGTAAGTAATACTTTTCTTTTTTAGCTTCTTTTAACACAATAATTTAGTAATTATCTTTCTTTTAATAGATGTATAGACACGACAGACTTGCAAATTATATGGATGTTAATTGGGTTTCCGGATGAGATTAATTTTTACAGTATGCGCACACGAGATTTATCATTACTAAGCATGGAAAGTAAAGAAATAATTCTAGATAAACATAACAACAAACGTGTAGTTATAAGTGTTCCAAAAAATTTACCGAAAGGCTCAATAATGGCTTTATCATTTGAATATCCCTTGTTCAGTAATGATTTAACCATTCGAGACGATAAAATTAGATTAGATATCGATTGCAGTCTATACGATGATTATTCCGAATATACAAAATCTGACAGTGAATCTGAG